TGCTAGTTAAGTTATGGAAAGATCTCTCCTGACTCTTCATCTTTGAAAAATTCTAAAACAAAATATCAAAGGGTATGTAAAATATTTATTTGCATTTAATAAGATAAATGTTCCCCACAAGAATGTCGGATTAAAAAACCATTTCATTACTTTTCTAATGTGGATAATTTTTAAAAAAATTCACTTAACTTAGGAAACCCAGATAACAATCGTGCGTCGCATTTAAACGCATGTCTCTTGCACTAACTGCGACTTACCAGATGAGTCGGTTCATATACGCATCTTACTATCGTCTGTGACGCTGGTAATAATGCGAGTGTTGTGAACTGCATTTCGTAAGCGCCTGTGATACAAAATGATAAGCATGTTCCGTTCACAAGTGCGACTTGCTAGAAGAGTCAATCCATACGCATTTTACCATCCACAGTGCGAATGCTGTGAATGCGTGTGCAGTGAACTGCACTTAATACGCACGCAATTAATGATGCGCAACCACCCGTATCGGCAATCACACATTTTATAATGGCGACAGCATTGTTTGTGGTGTGTTATCAAAATAAGTTTTTATTGTGATTTCATTTTTTATTGTTTTTTATTGCGATATTATTGTGAGGAATTATTGTGGATTTAATTTTTAGTACTGCAGCAAAATAAGAAAGTTAAATTTAATTTGTTTAAAGTACATATATATTTTTGTTGTATTAGATATAACCTCAAAAAAAGAATTTGGAAGTTTTTAACAATTTCAATTCCAAAATTGTACTGAAATATTAAATTAAAATCGTTTTTATAAATAACATTTTAATTTAAAAAAAATTACTAATGTCAATAATCTTTTCTTTTTATTTAATTCAAATAAGGCTGAAGTATAAATATAATTTATTCGCATTATACCGTCACGCATGTGCCCATCACAATATGCGACAGTTATGGATCGCATATGATGACGCATCTGAGTGGTCCAGTGAACGCGCATAGTGCGGATAAATCGGCACGCGTGCAGATGATATTAGTAGCACACAACGCGCATTTTGTTATCTGGGAAGCCACAACTAAATCAAGAGAAATTTTTACTGATGCGAATTCTACGGGGAAGTCATACATTCCTTAAATTATATCGAATAAAATAACTAAAAAATTTTCCCAACTCTTGTAGTTTATAACTTTATAATGGGGGCTTTTTTATAGTGAATATTGCCCGAGATTGGGCATCGATATGAAGAGGCTGAAAGGAAATTACTGAGCTGTCAAGAGACTTGTTGGAAGGCTGAGAGAGTAAATCCCGCTTTAACCACAGCACACTTGCTCGAGCTTTTAAGCACTATATGCGTTGCATTACCCACCCACGATAATGACTGTTTCTGCAAGTGACAGCTAACATCCTTTGATCAAAATCCTTTAATTTCTCATCGGAAAGTCAGTCGCAGTTGGTCGTTTCACCCTACTTTTTTCTTACCTAGGGAAAAACCTTTTTTTACCCCTCCTCGTGAGAAACTCGCACCCTCATATAAAACTCCATTCCCTCTTTAAAGTTCTCGCGAGTCAAATCATTCAACAAATTACTTTCATGTCAACTCTGTTGACACACTGTAGTTAAACAGCAGAAAAATACAAACTAAATCACACAAAATTTACTCGTGATTGATTTAACATTTCTTGAATGTGACTTTAAAAAATAGGTCAAAAATTAACAAGTTTTCCTGAACGTGCAAAAAAGCAAAACTAAATTTAATCAGTGAATAAAAATTTATTTTCTCTATAAACGTTTATTTTGACTCGGGTTTTTTCTCTCTAGATGGATTGTAGGAGGGGAATATTTTATCAACCCTAATAACGTTTGAAGGCGTCGATCTGAAATGTCGTTTGCCGTCAGATCAAATTGATAAGCTGTCAGAAAGAAGCACTTTAACGGTTCATGTTACTTCACAACTATACCATCCGGGACACAAGAAGACACTAAGATCCCAGGTCGAAAAAGCTGAGATGCGATGCGTCTTTACTGAGTGCTACTGAGGAGTCAACAGGGACTTAAGGAGGAAGTAGAAATAAGAGAATCGATTTTCTCCCTAAAATGGTACGAAAATGCGTCAATTTCATTTTTTTTTAAATGAGAATATTCCAGGAGAAAATTTACACCCAGGGAATTTTATATTATCCTTCTGAAACCTATATGCATATTTCCAAGAGATACAAAATTTCTATGTACAAAATAGGACTTCTATTTAAAGAACACATTTTTTTAAACTGTTAATTTTAAATAAAATTATATCTACTACGTTAAGGATAATTTTTAAAATAGTTGAAATTTTCGCTATAAATAATAAATTAAAAATTCTACCGACAGTTAATTCGAAAGTCAATTTCTTCCGTACGCGATAAATTTATTTTAAATGGAAGTTTTCCGAATGTGAGAGAACATAATATTGATGGATACGTTCCTCTATCACGATAAGTTTTCATTCGACACAAAGAGAGAGGGTTCTTTTAGCATCGAATTTCCTATCTTGGAAACTTTTGAAACCCTATATCGGGATTACATCTGTAAGATGGAATCGAGCAATATGTGTCTTATAAGAGCCATGCCTCCAGGACGAACTCGAATGGATCTTATGTGATCCCAGTCCCGACACTTGGACTATTTGTTTCATCTAAAGAACCCCGCAGGAACGTATCCTTTACGCGTCTTTGTTTCTTACAAATTTATAAAATTGATTTTGAATGATATCTTGGTGAGTGGAATTCAATAAATCATCTAACTTTATATACATATTGCATCTGACACAAAACCCAATGCTCTAACAATATTTTCTTACAAACTTTTGCTAAAAGTATACACTGTTCTATATCTTCAAAAATTTTAATAAAAATAACATTTTTTGCATATTTAACAGTCTACGAATAGATTTAACGGTGTTTAACGGGGTCACAAATATTTATCAAGAATTCAAAAATAGTATTTTTAAAAAATGTCATTCCGTATTTGTGTTTGTGTGTAAACATTACATTTTCATAAATATCTCGAAACTATGAACACAGAAAAAAACTAAACTCAAAATGAGTATCATATGATACTCATTTTGAAGTGCAACAAAAATGATACCCCTTCGACTCATTCTGAGTTTCTGGGGAAAAGACTCAAAATGAGTAAAAAGCGGTATCATTTTGGGTTTATGATAAAATTACAATAACATTGGAATAACTGGGAATAATTCATAAAAATATGAATTAAAATAATTGTTTAAAATGAATAAAAAACTTTGCACTTGTCAAAACATTAATACTTGAAGTCGATTTATCGCATTTATATATAAGAGGTCCGCCTGAATATCAGTCGGCTCCGCCTAATATTCAGGCGGACTCGAGCAATAAATAAGCTCTCTGTTAGGATTTTAGCATCAAAGAATCGATGGAAAAAGTATATGAAAAGTTTCGAGCATTAATCCTAACAGATTTCTCTCCGTGTGTCACATTAGGTTATGATAAACAGGGTTGTGAATCAATGTTCTATCACAAAGAAAATGGACAGGGTTGGAAACAAACGATACGTCGATACGCTTTTCCCTATTACGCGCGAATTTCAAGGCTTGAAAATGCGACATTTACCTCGATTTTGTTTCAAATAAATTTAATTCAATCAATATTTTGATGATTCTTAAAGCCTTTAATTAATTTTTTTTGGAGAAACAATTAACAACACAAGAGTACATAGTAAATTCTAATTAAAAGTATGAATAATAATAAAAAAAATTTTAACAAATTTTAACATAGTATAATTATATTTATTTGGTCTAAAAAAATTTTTTTTTTGCAAGCCGAGGCCCGAGGCCCCTTTTAGGCCGAGGCCCCCCCGCAATGCGGGGTTTCGCTGTACGGTAGTTACGTCACTGTAATCTCTATTATCCGAACTTTCGATTATCCGAACCTAGCCTTGCCTAGGTTAGTTCGGATAATCGAGGTTTCACTGTATTCTATACTGATTCAACCAAAAATACACCAATGTTTATTGGTTATGTTTATAATATATTAATTTTTCTGATACAGTCAGTGGCGGATCCAGGGGGAGGGTCATAGGGGTCATGCCCCCCCTGGGGCGAAAAATTTACGTCAAAAAAAGTCAGCTAATTATGGTCGTCGCTCGCCGCATCTAAAGATGACCCCCCCCCCTAGAGTAAATTCTGGGTCCGCCACTGGATACAGTTAATTTTACACAGACTTTGTCAATATACACAAAACCTTTCACTGGGACTTTATTTCTAAGACATTTTACGAAATCTAAACCGGAAACACTATCTTTTTATGTGCACTGTTCGATTTTACTTGCAATAATCACTGACAATATTAATCTAAGTAATTCAAAATTGTGATTTCCGTAGCCGAATAGCGGAGGGTTTGCAAAGTTTGTTCTCGATGATAAAACAGATATAATTAACTATAACATAATATATAGTAGTAAATTATCGGTAACTTATCAACAACGAATTATCTTAGGTTGGTATTAGCGTCGGAATGTTACTTATCTACTGACAATATAGTAAATTATTTAATTATCTTAGTTTGGTACTCACCTATAAAATGGTCGACTCAAGGTCACTTTCTGCAGGTTTTAATTTTCCTCCGAACGTTTTTTTAAATAGAAAAATCCACCTAATTTTGTGTTTTAAAACACTAGAATCATATTTCAGTTCGTCTCATTCTTTTTTCGCAAATACAAGTATCCAACAGTGGAAAATGCATAAATATTCTCCATCTATTTTTATCGACAAGCACCTGTAATAGAACAAGTGATTAAAGTGAATGAAGTAAATATTCACCCCCTTTCTTTGAACAAATGCATGATAAATTTCCAATATAATAAACAAATAACGAAAAATTTTCAATATTACCGAATCAATAAATGCTACTGAGAGAGAGGGAAAGGATAAAAAGCGGAAGCAAAAAAAAGTGCGTGGGCGTTGAAACGAAAAGATTTCCTCTATGTATGTAAATATATATATGTGTGCATCACAAGTGCATCATCATTCCATGAACAGTGTGACGTTCTTAGAGGGGTTATAAAAGGGGGAGGTAAAATAGGCAACGACCTCTCTTGCTTTAGTGGTCATGTTGTGAACTAAACACCATCTCTTTTGCACTCGCATTGCATTGCTGTGGAAAATGGCGACGAGTTCGGAGCTGCCAGATTATACTTCCCCAACAAAACGACGGAAAATTGACGACAACAGTTATAAAGCACCATCGGACTTGGAACTCGATTTTCGAAACAACAAGCAATTGAACGATCATCAAACCGAGGATCTTGAAGGTATTTCACTTAAAATATGGACAATTGTTTTATGAAATTCTCACTAATTCAATATGGCGTCGTGAAAGGGCGGATCCGTGCATCGTGTTGGCATTTTGTTCTCCAAGTATTGTTAAGACGCCATGACAGTTTCTTGTAGTGCGTCGTTTCATTTTTTTTCTTTACTTTATTTTAAAATTTAATCCCCATTTCTTCAACAATCATAATGTTATTTAATAATTTCTTTGAGAATTTTGTTGTATTTATTTTAATTTTATTAGTTTTTTCAATTGGACACGGTTTAAGTGATATTTTTTGGGCTTTTAAATTGTTTTCACGCGGGAAAGAGGAGGGTTTTGGCTAGGCTTCGTGCAACTGCGTTCACAGATGGCACAAGTTTCACAAACAAATATGGAAATATGATTTTGACGTTTCTTGTACCGCGTGCGTTTAGCTGTCAAACTCAACAATGATATTTAAATACGTCAAAATATTGCGTAGGTCATGATTTTTATCTGTGGGAAAATAAATAAACATTTCCCTCTTTTTAAAAGTGGTTTGAGTAGGTTATGTTTTTTTTACATTTTACATCGTGTGTGGTTATGTCGAATCGAATATTTATTTTCTTGTTTAAAATTTTTACTTGTTGAATAAACGTTTAAAAATTATTTAAAAAGGCTAGAGTTTATTGAATAAATTTGTATTTTATGTAAATTACATTTGTTTTATTCTTCATCTATTACTTTTCTTAAATTTCTTATTAATCTGAATTTTTATTTAAAAATTGTAGAAACTCTAGGCTGTGATAGTGGATTCAATGACATGAGTGATGGAATAAAATCAGCTTCCGGTTCATCTGAGACAACAAATCTTTCTATAACTCCAAATCGCTCTGATTCCACAAGTGACGATACAGGCTGCACGTAAGTTTAATATAAATTTTCTTTTTCAGAGTTGCCACAGGTCAGGGAAGTCAGAGAAATAGAATTCTATTTTCTCGGACTTTCCTGACCTATGACAACCCTGAAAAAGAAAATTTATCAGGGAAAAGTCAGAGAATTTTATTAAAAGTACTGCAAAAACTTAAATTGTTAGAATTCATAAAAAAAATTCTAAATTTTGGAGTCCTTTTTGTTTACCTCATAAACTATGAAATTATCACGAATTCAAAAACAAACCCTTCAATTTTTTCTATTTCTAACAATAATTTTTTTCAAATAAATTAATTCTTTATAAGAACTATCAAAAAATTATTACTTAGAAATTATTTAATGAATAATATGACTTAAATATTTCAAAATTAATTAAATTTTAAAAGAGTTGCATTTACAATCTTCATAAATAAATCAACTTCAAAAGGCTTCAATTTGAAATTGAGGGGACGGCTTCTAAAAGGGGATACGCGTGGATTCTCTCGTTTAAGTTTTGTCCACTTGGTCAATTTTTGAAAATATTACAAATTGCAATTTGAATTACCGAAGTTTGTGGAAAATGGAAAGGCGCATCTTTTTTCTTTAAGAAATAAATTTATATCTTGTTTAGTTTAGAAAATAAGGGGTCGTCCATAAATTACGTAAGACATTTTAGGGGGAGGGGTGGGTCTGCTAAATCTTACAAACCGTAGAAAAAATGGCGCTAATGTATATAAAAAATCTTACGAAGGGGGGTGGGTGGTCAAATTTTTCAAAAAAGTGACTTACGAAATTTATTGACGGCCCCTAATGAGAAAAAACTAAATTTTTGAAAACCAAAAAATTTAAATGTTTTACGTCTTTAACTCGTCCTGGCGTTTTTGATTTTTTTATATTTTGTAATCAAACAAAAACGAACTTACAGATTAAAGGCGCACTTACAGCTAGTAGGCATCAATACAAATTTGAATTTACTGTCTCTTTCACTCTAATTGACTTTCTCTCTTACTCCAATTACTGCCTGCGCAGGCAGGCAGAGCTGTGAGTGCTCCATCAGGTTTCCTGAAACCAACTATATTTTTAAAACTTCAAAATCTTAATTAATAAAAAGTTTATTAATTTTTTCGAAATACATTGCAAAAAATGTTTTTTTTTTAACTTTCAACGCTTCGTTTATCTAGGAAATTTCAAGGTACAAAAAACTTCCAGTGAGAAAGTTTTTTATTACGATACGGACAAGTTTTCTCTAAAATTTTATTAAAATGATATGGATATTTACAAAGTTATTAATGTTTAAAGCGTATGGTGCGTCAGATTTCTTGCGCCTGGAACGCATTGAGTACCGAATTGTTCGTTTGCATGGAACATATTAAGACTATTTTAGTTTATTTATTTGTTTACTTAAAAGAAATACAATTTTTAGTAAAGTCACTGATAAATTTTTGCAATAGCAATTTAGTTAAAAACGATTAATTATTATTGAAAAGTAACCAATAATAATTAGCCAAAATCGGCTGGAAATAGTTAAAATTTACTGACATACAAATAATTAGTACACAGTTATTTTGACATAAATGTAATGTTAATTTAACTAATAAAAGTTTATTAAGAATAGTAAAAATATTATTATTTTAATTTTTGACTGGTTTTTTAATATCAAAGTAATTATTTTTCAATAATATTTAACTATGGATTATGACGATTCATCTAACTTTATATAACAGTAGCATCAGTTTATTTATTCTAACATGTATTGTACGTAAAGACATATGAAATTATTTTTTAAAAAATATTGCAGAATTATTCGCAAAATAAATTGTACAATAATTCCATATTGTATTTAATAATTGAAGTTAAAACATATTTTATTTCATTTATATCTGTATTTTGGCAAACATTTTCATACAATAGATTTTTTTTGTTATCATGTGCACTTTTCAAGGAAGTAACCCTTTTTTATATGCTATTTTTCCCAAAGTTGTCATTTGTTTTCACTCTACGAAAAAATATGGTGTCCAGATGAGTCGCGGTTGCCGCGACCGTTGACTGCAAAAAAAAGGGTTCGGTAAAACCCAATACAATTTTCCCAGGATTTCGAGATTTTTTTATGACAATTAAGGAAATCGATATCTTTCTCCAAACGGACAGGAGTTTTTTAATAATTATTTTAAAAACATTAAATGTAGTAAACCAGATCATTTTGACTAAGAGTGGAAACCTTGAACTAAATGGAACAAGAAACTTAAAAATAAGAAATATTATTTTAGTTGACTTTTGTACATATAACAAAATAAAATATTTTTTTAAAAATAAATTTCAATAAATTTTATTATATATATTGACAAAAAATTTTTAACGCGTTGCAAACTAACAATTTGGGACTCAATGCGTTCCAGGCGCGAGAAATCTGACGTACCATACGCTTTAAACATTAACAACTTTGTAAATATCCATATCATTTTAATAAAATTTTAGAGAAAACTTGTCCGTATCGTAATAAAAAACTTTCTCACTGGAAGTTTTTTGTACCTTGAAATTTCCTAGATAAACGAAGCGTTGAAAGTTAAAAAAAACATTTTTTGCAATGTATTTCGAAAAAATTAATAAACTTTTTATTAATTAAGATTTTGAACTTTTAAAAATATAGTTGGTTTCAGCAAACCTTAATCTGTGAGTTTGTTTTTGTTTGATTACAAAATATGAAAAATCAAAAACACCAGCACGAGTTAAAGACGTAAAACATTTAAATTTTTTGGTTTTTAAAAATTTAGTTTTTTCTCATTATTTTATAAACTAAAAAAGATATTAATTTATTTCTGAAAGAAAAAAGATGCGCATTTTCATTGTGTTTAAATTTATGTCATTGAATTTTAAAATTGAAAATGTTTCAAAATCACACTATTGGTCAATACTTATACGTGAGAATCCACGCGTATCCCTTTTTAGAAGCCGTCCCCTCAATTTTAAATTAATTTAATTAAAAACTTTAAAGAACTTAGATTTTTGAAAAATGTTAATAATTCAAATTCTTCTAAAATTAGTTAACTTTTTTAATATATATTTAATTAATTATTAAAAATAATGGATTTATAGAAGAATTTTAGTTAAAAACAGTAAAAAAAAATTTATTTTTGCAGAAGTTAAAATGATTTCAGAAATTCAATTATTTTCAATTAAGTAAAAAATTCTTCATAGAAATTCAAGCATTTTCAAAAATTAATAAAAATTCTCTTAAAAAAATCAATTATCTCTATAAATAATAAAGTTCTTCTCCAAAATTCAATTATTTTCAAAAATTTTCCTCAATTCAATAATTTTGATTGTCTACTATTTTAATAAAATTTTTCGTAAGAATTCAATTATTTAAAAAAAATTTAATAAAATTCTAGGCCAACATTTAATTATTTTCTTAAATAAAATTTTCACAGGAATTCAATATTATTTACAAATTTTTTCGCAATAATTCAATTATTTTCATAAATAATAAAATTTTTTACAGGAATTCAATTATTTTCCTAAGTAGTAAAATGAATGTTTAGGAATTCAATTATTTTCATAAATAATAAATCTGTTCACAGAATTTTAATTATTTTCAATACAGTTTTAATCGAATAAAAATGTAATTATTCTTAAAAATTTATTAAAATTCGTCCAAAGAATTTAATTATTTAAAAATTTTTTATAAGAATTCAATTTTAAGAAACATTCAATGAATTATTTATTTTTGTATTTAAATAATTGAATTCTAGTAGAATTTTGAAAAGGTTTCAAATTAAAAGCTTTGAAAATTTGAATTTTTCATACTTTTAACTAACAATTCTGTAGAATTAATTATTTTTTTAAATAGTTTAATTGAATTTTTTTAAAAATTATTTGAAGTTTTTATTTTCATATATATATATATATATATATATATATATATATATATATATATATATATATATATATATATATATATATATATATGAAAATAAAGAACTTCCGAATAATCGAAATTTTGTAAAATTGAATTGTAAACAAATGGATTTGAAAAAATTCTCAAAAAACTTCTTCAAAAATTATTAAAAATAATTGATTTAAAGAATTTTATTTAAAAATTGTAGAAAATAATAGTTGAATATTAAATTTTTGTGGCAACCCTGTTTTAAATAAAAGTGAAAAAGAAAATTAAAAATGAATTTTTTCTTTCAGACTTGATACGGATGAAAAGGACGAAGTGTCCTCAACGGTGTCTTATCTTTCGGATCTGTCCGGACTCTCCGATCTTTCTGGTGAAGGTGAAAATAATCATCACTGGTTATTAGAAGTCAGTGGAAGTGCATCCACTTGGGTTCAAAAGCAAATACTAATGGGGACAGATCCAAGGGAACTTATTCAACATGTCTTCATGGAGTCAACTCCTATTCCAGATCAAGTTGACGATCTCACCTTGTGGAAGGTGCGTTAAAATCCATTCCTACATATATATATTTTTTATTCCCCTTCAATATTAATTTTGACTTACATTCATAAAAATACAGATAATTGTGAACATGATGTCGGAACCGCCAAGAAGACAGAAATTAAGACACATTAACACCATATCGGACGTGGTTAGATTGATAAGTACGAGTAAAAAAATTGTAGTATTAACCGGAGCTGGCGTCAGTGTTAGTTGCGGAATTCCTGATTTTAGAAGTAAGGACGGCATTTACTCTCGATTAGCGCAGGATTTTCCCGATTTACCCGATCCACAAGTAAGTAAACCTATTAATTAACTCCGTTTATTTTGAAAAGTATTATAAAAATAAATAACATTCTTTTTTCAGGCTATGTTCGACATCAATTATTTCGCACAAGATCCAAGGCCGTTTTTCAAATTTGCACGTGAAATTTATCCCGGTCAATTTAAACCAAGTCCGTGTCATAGATTTATTAAAATGTTGGAAAAACAGAAGAAATTGCTAAGAAACTATTCACAAAATATCGATACTTTAGAGCAAGTTGCTGGAATTGAAAATGTTATCGAGTGTCACGGTAAAAAAATTTATTGAATTAATTTTTTTAAAAATAAAGTTTAATAACATAAAATTCATATATTTCATTATTAATGTAATATTATTATTTAGGTTCTTTTGCAACAGCGTCGTGCACTCGTTGTAAATATCAAGTGAAAGCTGACGATATCAGGGCTGATATTTTCGCACAGAAGATACCAATTTGTCCGAAATGCAAGGAAAAATCATTGCCATCAATGAATGAAGCTAATCTAAACGAATCCTATAGAGGTGATTGAAAAATACAATTTTTTTTCGTCTTGCTTTTTAATTTCAATATAAAGATGGACTTTGATTGATTCTACTATTTATTCTCCTTCGAGTAGTAAATATTGCAAATTCATTGGCAGTTTAGAGAAAATTTATCATCTATTGGAATGAAAATTGGCTAAGTTGACAAAAATGATCAACTTAAACTAATAAAAATTATAAAGTGAAACAGGTAAAACGAGTATATCTAATTTTCATTCAGTCCATCGATTTTCAACTTCTTTAATAAGCACATAATTCTCAAAAAACAGTTTTTTGTAATTACAGGGTTGCTACCCATCTGGGAAATATTTATTTAACGGAAAAACTGGATGTTCCGAATAATTTTATAATTGATGATATTCAAAAATAAATGTATTACAAACACTTTTTTTTGTACATCTAATTATTTTTAGAATTAATTAAAATATTCTTTAGGGTCAGAGAGTTCTCTCTGGAAATGAGGGAAAAATAAAATGAAAATTTATGGCAACCCTGAACAAGCCCATAATTTTCAAAAAACAGTTTTCTTGTTATTAACATCGTTTTCTTTTTGGTGTAGAAATAAATTGCGTTTGTTTTCGTTGAAAATTTATATCCAAAGAAATTGGAATGGAATTTAAATTGATTATGTTTTCAGATTTAGTGTCGCAGGGTATCATGAAACCGGATATCGTATTTTTTGGTGAAGGTCTTCCGGACGCTTTTCACGACGCCATGTCCAAGGACAAGGACGAATGTGATCTCTTAATTGTAATTGGCTCGTCGCTCAAAGTTCGGCCGGTTGCATTAATTCCGTCTTCGATTTCATCCCACGTTCCTCAAATTCTCATTAATAGAGAATCGCTTCCGCATTTGAAGTTTGATATCGAACTTCTTGGAGATGGAGACGTCATTATCAACCTCCTGTGTCATCTGTGAGTACTTATAAAACTATTAACTATTAATTTTATTATAATTATTATTTTTAATTCGAGAATCTTGTTGCAGATTGGAAGGTCCTTTCAAAGATGTTTGCTGTCAAGAAAAAGTCCCCCAAGAAGTGAAACAATTATTACCGGTTCAATTAAGTTCATACGATTCGTGGGAACAAAGTCAGGATACAATAACAAATCCTGAATTTTCACAAGACATGAGTAAAACTGAAGAGAAATCACAAAACATCTCCTCAGAGAGTCAGGACAGTTTTATCATGAATACAACGTCAAAGCGAATAAATACGGATATTTGTATTTCACCATTTCATGCCGGTCATATGGAGAATACAGAAGGTAGTTTTCAATTATTGGGCGAGAGTCCAAAGAGACGTTTGGGAAACTCAAGCGTTGAAAGTAGTCCAAAGCGGATACGTTACGATAATGAATCGACGGAATTCATTTCACCGAGTTCAATTGGCAAAAAATCGCCGGGACACGTTGTACCTGATGAGACAACGATTAAAGAAACAGAAGAGAATTATTCATCAACCGAGGAATGTCACGTTGTTCCACGTGGTGAGAATTCAATAGACTCTGGTAAAGAGGAGAGTTCGACAGAAAGTAATAAAAATGATTTCACCGAATGTGACAGTGGTTCGGATACAATTGGTCTTAAACCAAGACATGCATCAATTGATTCGGCTATGGATTCTGGTTTGGGCGATAGTTGTAATAGTAACGATTGCACTGATCGAAATCAAGATGAGTCGAAGGTACATGAAGTCGACAGACATTGTTGGCAATCGAAGACAAGGGAGAGTCTGGCGACACGTTTGCCTGGTGAGTTATTTTAATCATTCTTCTTTTTTTAATGCAAAGAATTTTATCTAATTATTCATTTTTTTCCGTAGAAAATTCCTATTTTCAACTGGCACCCGGAAGATATATTTTCCAAGGAGCTGAAGTTTACGCCAACTTTGAAGATTATGATCGTTGCTCGATATCAGCCAATTCGGAAAGTTCGGACAGCGATAGTGATTCTTCATCGGACGACGAAGAAGTAGCTTGTGAGTAGAAGCAATCGATTTATATTTGAAGATCCTATTTCCAAAAAGAATTACCTACGTTCTTCAAAAATCGATTGTCTTAGGTGTAGACGACAATCTCTGACTTCGCAGACAGCGACGCAGAAAATCGAGTCATTTTCTGGTCTGGTAATTCAACCAGAAATGACCAAGATATATTTTTCATTAAGCGTTTAATTAAAATTGAACATATCGGCGATATAAAAAAACGCGTTAATTTCATTCGTAACTTTTTCTTCAGAAAAAAGTATCGAGAAAAAGAAGGAAAAAGATTTGAATAATTTCACAAATCACTTTGGAAATAAAGGAAAAATATTTTTCACTTTATTTTCAAGCTTGAAATTATTTATTACTAAATATTTAATTATTACTTAGTAATAAATAGACTATTAAATGAATTTATTTTCGAGTGACGAGCAAGTATTATCACAGACAACAATATTTGATCAAAAAATCAATTCATTATTTAATATTTCTTTTTATTTATCAATTAAAAATAAATATTAAATTTTTTTCGAAACTAAAAAATGTTTCTTTTATGGTCTGTGATAAATTGCGATTAGATCTCCACTCTTCCATTTTCTAATTCATAGAAACTTATTTATGTACGAAAAAAAGAAAAACTTGTAAATATGACATTTTGCTAAACTATCATTTTCATTAAGAATTTAAGAGAGAGACTAAGAAAATAGATATTTAAGAAATCATAAGTTTCCTTTAAGAACTTTTTGTAAATATAGCGTAATGAAAAGTGCAGTAAGTTTTAATAAAATTTAGTCTTTTAAAACTATATTAAAATAGAACTGAAATTGACAACAATATATTAGTGCACTAGTAGATAGCATAATATTTTCTCGCGTTATTAAATTAACGCGATTGTGTTAAAAGAATGCTTTAAAAAAAACATGAGCACTTAGTTAGAAATTCGTAAAGTGTGCGAGAAAACTTCTTTTTTTCTTTTTAATCACGAGAGTAAGTATTTTGAGCTTTTTTAAAAAAGCAAATTATTCTCTTTGGAAAGGATAAATTATTATTGTAAATTTTAAAGAAGGAAAAAAGAAAAAAAATTATCATTTAAGTTCAAATTTGAGATCTCATTGTTTTTGGTAAAATTGAAGTCTGAGTTTTTTTTCTCTTTTTTTTGTGGCGAAAGAATAGGATTTTTTTTATAGGCAAAGTTTTCGTTATTAAGGGTAATAAATTATGGATGAAAATTGTCACGTTACCATCTGTTTCGGATGATTTGGGGCAAACAATTTTTTATTTTATCGAATGTTTTGTTTTTAACATACTGAAGATTATTTTTCTTTTAAAAAACACTAATTTTTATTTTAAAAATTATATTTTATTTTCATTTCATTAATTACCCTATTTTTAAATTAAAATTAATTTTAAAATATTTTTGGAAAGAATTTTAAATTCGAAAAATTGAGTTTTAATGTTTTTTATCGCTATTTATGAATTATGATATTCATAAAATTGAATATTTATGAAATATTTTTTTACCTTTTTCGAATGTTAAGGAATTTTATATGAAATTGTTTATAAAATTCAGTTTAAATTAAATCGACTTATGGACAATAAACAATTGGTAGTCTTGACAATTTTAATCTTATATTGTAATAATTATTTTTAGTATGAAAGTTCTATCAAACTTTCGCAAATGTTACTCTCTTGGAAATAACATTTAAAATATCGATAATAAATTAGTTTAATAATTTGGAGATGAGTTTCGTTTTTAGGTGCATTAAGTTCGACTTTGTTACATTGGAGCACGGGCGAATGTACAAAGCAATGTCGAATAATTATTTCACATTGCGCGTTATTTTTATACAAAAAGAAAGAAAGGGAATTTAGTGTTAGCTACTTGAAACAATTATAAATTAGTAAAAAATGCAACAATCTTGCGGGAATTGTCGTAAAATTAGAAGAAAGAAATGTAAAAACAAAAAAATTTTTGTACATATTTTTCAAATTCAAAACATTCTTCTTTTTTCTTAAAACTGAATTTTTGTTTCACTTTTATTATTTTTTATATTCTGTATAAATTTTACAAAAATTAAAATTATTGGCATTACTTTCTTCTTCTTTTAATCTATTTATCACAAAATTGTTGCTCTAGATTATTTATACATAATGTAAGAAACAAATCGGTTGTGTGCAAAAAAAGAAGTTAATTATTAATTAAAAGAAACATCAAATAATATCAATTATAGGCTTTACTGTATCGATTCGCTGTATTATCATCATAATTATTATGAAAAGGAAAGTTTTTTCGAAATTTCAAAGTAACCTTTCACGAGATTATTAGATTTAAATATATACACGGAGAGAAAAAACAAGGCTTTTCCCCATGAAAAAATATGCATTTAACGCGTGAAAATTATCACAGTAAAAATGCAGGACGCTCACGGGTTTTCCCGGTGAGATTCTTGCAACGAGCTAAGGCCAATAGGGGCTAAGGCGTAGCCAAACCGCTAAACGCAAGAAATTCATCAGGAAATCGGGTGCAACTGCTACCTGAAAAAGGCATGAATTGAAGTCACAGGGAAAAGCCTTGTTTTTTCTCTCCGTGTAGAAATATAGAAAAAAAATTATATTATTACTAGTGATAAAAGTTTTTTAGTGTAAATTACTGCACAAAGTTTAATTATGATTTCGCACCATCGTGAAAGAAAAATTAATTTGAATTGATAGATTATATGTATATATAATATATAAATATTATGTAGTAGAAAATAGTACGATTGATATATGATTGTAGTCTCTTGTTCACTTCGTCCAATATTGTTTCTGATTATTCACGAGTAGAAGAATTTAATGAATTTTCGCATTTTTTTCGTTTTTTTAACTAAAAAGAACAAGATTTTAAGTATTGCTTTGTACAAAAAAAGGCTTTTATTTATCATCGATTTTTGAGACAGAAATATTTAGCACTGTGCATCGTTGTTCTCATTCTTACTTTAACTTTATATTTATTTATTTGAAGCTTGTTAATAAAAAGTTAGTTTTAATGTGATAACTCTTGTTCTCTCTTTATAAGCGTCTTTTTACATACGAAAGTTATTTTTCCTCGAGTAAAATAAAAATTTAAAAATTATAAGAATTTTTATTATAAACAAAATAATATCTTTAATTTTATCAGCGAATAAAATTATGTTTGTAAAAAGTTACAATAGACAAGAGAGAAATGGAATTATGTGTATTGTTAATTTGAACATTTATACTAACTTTTTTGGCAGTACTGACTTTCCGTTTTTTTTAAATAAGTACTTGTATATATTTATTATTTTTAATTTGTAAAATAATTGTAAATTTTGTCACTCTTTCTTGACAGATCGTTGCATTTTATTGTCTTTTTTGGTAATTATGAAAATTAAAATTAACTTCAAACTTAATTAAGATCTCGTTTAACAAGAGACAGTAACAATATTTACATTAAGAGTTTTGAATTTTTTATAATTTGTTATTTAATACAATAGATGTTATAAAAATGTTCTCTTTATATTATAAATGTTGTATAAGAATATTCTGTTTCTTTGGTATTACTAACGTATAAGTTTTTTCTCGTAAATTAAACAATTTTATATAATATAATTCTTGTGTTTTATTTCACTGACCATTGAAGACGCTTTTTCTGTTTATAAATACTTTTATATATTTATTTTATTTCTCTCTATATAAATAAAATATTTTATTAAAGTAAATTATTAATAAATAAATCTACAATAAGAAAAATTATATTTTTCATTAAAGTGAAAATGTATAAAAAATAAAATAATTTAAAAAATATTTTTCATTTAATAATTGAATTTTTAAAGGAACTTTCTCAAAAGTTATTAAAAATATTTTAATTATAGAAGAATTTCAGTTAAAAATTGTAGAAAATAATTGAATTAAAATTTTGAAAATAATTTTAGATAAAACCCGTTTATGTTCAAATAAATAAATTAATTAAGGAGGAATGGTATACCTAATCGGGCCAAAAGTTTGTGACATTTAGGGAAATTTGTATTTTTTTAATTAAGCTATATATAGCACTTTTTCTTATTGAAATCATAAAAGTAGACATCAATGAATATTAAAAAGTATATATTAAATAAGGAAAATATAATAAATTAATGAAATTAATTTTTTTTATAAGAGCAGAAAATAATTTTTGTTACTGTCTTTACGAATTTAAAACCTAAGAAAATAAAAATTACTGAAATTTTCTAAAAATTATTTTCGGATTTATCGAGTATTCCATTGCAAACTTTGAAAAAATGCTATTATTACGTATATATGTGTCTTATTATGCTGTAATATTAATCTAATTTTATTATATAAAAGCAAATCATTTCCCAAAATATCAAAAGATTCTGAATGTTTTGAATTTCTATACCATTCCTCCTTAATTAAAGTACATATTCTTATAAATGATTGAATTTCAATGAAATTTTTTAAAATCTTAATTCCACTGGAAAAATAATAATAATGATTAAATATTTATTTTAAAAAAATAAAATCAAATTTTTGTGGCAATCCTGAATAATAATAATTAATTATAAATATTAAAGATTTTTTTTAATTTTAAATTTCGTGCTTTTTTATTCGATAACTTTCGAGTGTTTCGAGTATTTACGACTGTTACGACCCTAAAACAAAATGTCGACCACTGATAAACATCAGGAAAATTTTTTTTTATAATATAATAATAATATTGTTTTGAAAGTTTTTAAATAAATAGTAATGAAATCTTAGTTGTCTATTTATAAATGCGATTATTAATTGTCACATCTGAAGAAAAACGTTGTGAATAAAGTTTGTTTTTATAAATGAAATAACTATATTAATTCCGCAATTCCGAATCTTTAGAATACATGGAAGATATATTTTTAAAAATATAATTAAGGAAAAACAACTAATCTATCTTAATACAGATACCAGATATGAAAGAAAAATGAAATCAATAATTTATTATTAACACAGTGTTTATGAAATTAAAGGAAATGAAGGAAATTTGTTGAAGTTTTTGAGGTTAGATTAGCACACACATATAGCAGACGACGCCTCCTGTCATGATATGGATTTACTTTCGAAAAGCTTTCTGCACGTTTAAAAAGGAGTAGGCGTTTCATAAAAACCCAAGTAAATGCTGTCTTTTAGCTCAGACGACGACTAGTCAACCAACAAGTGATACGTGTCATTTTCATTGTTTATTTTCCGACTGAGAAAAAGTGATATAAATTTCGTCAGCAAACATGTGTGGTAAGGAAAATATTATTTCTATAATTTATGTAAATAAATCATTTTTGCACTTTATCTTTTCTTTTCTTCAAAATGAAGAAAAAAATTGTCATTCACATATGATGATAGTTAATAATTTGTAAATAAATAATTGGGTGAATGTTTATTTTTTATTGTGCAGTACACATTGTTAATAACAGTTTACATTGATCTTTAGTGGAGATATTATTTTTATTCAAAAGCAAACAATCCATATGTCTCCTGTACTTTGCATTTTTGTTTATATTTACTATCTTTAGATAATTGTTGACATTTATTTCCTGGTTGACTAATTATCTTTCAATGATGACTATTTTGTCAAAGAATTAAAATTGTAAATTATTTATCCCGCTAGCGGTATACAAGTAATCACAGTAGGTTATTTAGCCCGCTAGCGGGATAAGTAAGGATTTTAGGCTATTTATCCCGCTAATTTAAAAAAATAATAAATATAAAGTATTTACTTGCCTAGATACATGGTAAAAATTGTTAAGTATATTAAATATTAATTATTTCATTTTAGGAAATGATAGATAATAAATTAATAATAAATGTTATATTCTATTATTAAATATTATATTATATTTATTTAGATATAAAATCTATCAAAGTATTTATAAAATTTTATAAAAATGCAACTTATGAAAATTTAAATATAATCTATATTCTAAGTTTAATTTGTTTTATGAAATATAAGAAATTGAATATAATATAATTAAAAAAATTTGATAAATGTCAATTTAGTTTTTGTATAATTTTTGATAAACAGACTTTGGCCGTTTATATAAATAAATATAACTCATTAAGCACGATTTAAATTGTAAATTTTGGAGTGAATTTTTTTATAATAAAAGTTTCAAACAAATTAAAAATTTTATTAACAAACAATTTTTAATTACCTTTTGTTTTTCTTTATAAAAAATGAAATTGTTACTTCAAAAGCATTATTAAATTTTTAATTAGCAATGCTGACTATTAAATAATTAAAAAATTTGTTAATCAGGGAAAATCTAAAATTAGTCAGGAAAAGTTAGGGAATTCTGAAAATGAAATTTTGCAGCCATCCTATTACCTATTATTAATTTTATAATTTTTGATATTAAAAAAAACGACTACTTAAGGGGGAAGGAGCTTAAAAAAATAATAAAAAATAGTAGATACAAAAAATTATTTAAATAAAAAAATCGGATTATTTTGAGTTTTTAAAAAAAATTATGATATTTTTTCCTGATTATATTATATTCAATTTCTTATATTTCATAAAACAAATTAAACTTAGAATATAGATTATATTTAAATTTTCATAAGTTGCATTTTTATAAAATTTTATAAATACTTTGATAGATTTTATATCTAAATAAATATAATATAATATTTAATAATAGAATATAACATTTATTATTAATTTATTATCTATCATTTCCTAAAATGAAATAATTAATATTTAATATACTTAACAATTTTTACCATGTATCTAGGCAAGTAAATACTTTATATTTATTATTTTTTTAAATTAGCGGGATAAATAGCCTAAAATCCTTACTTATCCCGCTAGCGGGCTAAATAACCTACTGTGATTACTTGTATCCCGCTAGCGGGATAAATAATTTACTGTCACTATTCATCCCGCTAGCGGGCTAAATACACAGCGTTTATTTAAAACTATTATATTTAAAATATATATTACTGTTGATTATAATTAATTAATTCGTATATTTCATTGTGAATTCTATTCTTATTTTTCAAAAATTGTGTATTATTTGAACTTAAAAGAAATTGTTAATTTACTTTTCTAATTCATTTTTGAATTTCGATCTAGTTTCATTGCATTTGACTTTCTATATTTGATTTTTGTATATTAAATAATTTGTATATTATAGACAGTGATTGTGGTAATCTTGTTATATCATTCAATCTATTTTAATATTTTAATTTGGTCCCTTCTTAATTTTTTTAAATTTATTCCAAATTATTGAATAATTAATTTCTGATTAGAATTTTATTTTGAGTTTTCGTTTAAATAGAAATCTCGTCTTTTTTATACCTACTTTAGAATAACATTTTTTTCTCGTTATTAAATTACTCCTTTATTATAATATATCACGAAGGGAGAATTTATATTAAATTTTATAAAAGTATTTTACAAATTAGGGAAAAGTGCATCAAAGACAAATTTTGATATAAAAAATACTAAACTTTAAAAAACTTATCTAAAAATTTAGTATAATTTTATCAAGTATCAAGAATATAAATTAAATTTTAATATAACTTTTTTAAATTTCACACAAGTTTTTTTAAAGTTTAGTATTTTTTATATCAAAATTTTGCTTTGTTGCACTGTTTCCCTAATTTGTAAAATACTTTTACAAAATTCAATATATTTATATTCTCTCTCCGTGTATTAGCTACAATGACTCAAATTTAGAGAGTAGACAAAATAGTAGGTAGTGATTTCAAAAGTGTACGATTTCTCTATATCATAAATAATAAGTTAATCATATTTGGAAAAAAAATAATGAAGAAATTCATTATCAATATGAATTTGAATAAAAAATTTTGAATATGAACCTTCTTATTAATGTGAAAACAAGAACCTATGTTATGAAATTGTGAAAGTATTACGCAAGGATCGTTTTTCTTTAATGCACTTTTTTTAAAATTCAATACATAAGAATTACCATTAAAGAACTAGCGACTCTCTTTGTTAATCATAAAAATTAGAAATTTTTAAATGTCAAAAATATTTCCAAATTTTAATTTTTAATCTAAAGATAAATATTTCGTTACAGTTTTTAAATTCTATTTTTTGAAAGGATTTAAAAAGATTCAAAATGAAGGGAAAATTATTCCTTAAAAAAGAGTTTAATTTGGAATTGGTTATTGGGAGTTAAAAATAATTTTAATTATAATTTTTTATGTTTATTGCTTTATAGAGAATTCCTATGCGCAGTAATAACGTTTTATTGAAGCTGTCAGGTGATAATTACATGTATGAATTTGCAAGGGGGATAAAGAGGAGATAAAAAAATATTAAAGGATTTTGCTTAAAATAAGAATTGAAAGAGAATGTGGGTTGAAAGGTGTGTCTTTGGGCAACGACCTACACTAAGTCTTGAAAGATAGGACAGGCTTTTATTTAGCAGTGTCCTATCGTTGTGAAATACTGATATTTTCATCGACTTCAAATTCAAGTGAAAGTTATCCTTATGTACACTCGTGGCACACGCAGAATTCGAGACCGTTATTGCCACGGGCATTCCTAACATTTAACACCCGTAAGAAAGTCTTGCACTTCGAGCGATTATAAATTTCATGAGACACTATTAATAAATAAATTTATTCATATCTTATGTAATACCACATTATGAAAATTCGATTTCTGTTTGGTGAAAAAAATTTAATTTTGTAATTAGCAATTTTACTGGAAACAAAAGAGTTACTAATTCTCAAAGATTTTATCTTTTATCATTTTTATTTTTATCTTCTATATTAATAATAATAATCGTATTCTTGTCATTTGATCGCATTTTGAATTTAGTTATTTATTTGTCTGCTTTTTGTTTCCATTTTTTCGTTAATTTGTTTTAATGTTTTGATTTTTTAAATTAATGGAATTCTAATTTAATGTTTTGAAGATTAAAAAATAGCAAACGTTAATTAAACCAAATTGTTTCGAATTAAAAATATTCTTTTTATATTTTATAATTTTTATTGTCAAATAATTGAATTCTTATAAAGTGATTTATTCGAATTTTTCAAAATAATTAAATTTCTTGCTAAAAATTTAATTAAACTATTTAACCTCCCTACGGTTTGTCCCGAGTTAACTCGGGGTAAATTGACTGTGCCAAAACGGTTAACCCCGAGTATACTCGGGGTAACTACATATTTTATAACTCGTCAACAATACATCGGAATTACATGATCTAAAGTGGAGATTGAAGCCAATGCTCTAAGCTTTTCAAAAATATTTATTAACAATGATAAAAAATTTTTTTATCAAAGTTACATAACTTTAAATGTTAGTTAAACAAGCAAGTTTTTTAATAAGTGGATAATGTGCATTTAATCAAAAAGTTTATGAAATCAGCTTATGAAAATCATTACTCGGGGAGTTTTCGGTTCAAAATTCAAAATAGCAGATCCAATATGGCGGATATTAAAAAAAAAATTTTTGATTAAAAATATAAAATTTTCGAAAAAGGTCTCCCATATGTGATTTGTCATTTTGAATTTTCAGAAATGGACACCGAATTCGTAATCAGCGACCCCAAAAACTATTAAAGCATGTTGAGATATAAAATTTTCTATGCAGGGTAAATTGAACCATTTTGGTACCGATTTCTGCAATTTAATTAAACCGTAGGAGGGTTAAAATTAAGTTGATTCTTACGAGAAATTTAATTAAGATAATATTACAAATATTTAAATTCTTACAAAGAAATTTATCAAAATTTTTTAAATAATTGAATTTCTGCGAAGAATGTTATAATTTTAACATTTTTTTTAAATAATTGAATTCTTTTGAAGATTTTGATTAAATTTTTAAAATTGCTTTAAAAATAATTTAAATTTTTGTGATGAGTTTTATTATTCAATAAAATAATTTAATTTCTAAAAATAATTGAATTGCTGAGGATAATTTTTTAATTTTTTTTTTTTAAGTTATTGAATTCTTGTGAAGAAGTTTATAAAAATCATTTTAAACTTTCTGCGCAGAATGTTATAATTAACATTTTTTCAAATAATTGAATTCTTTCGAAAAATTTTATTACAATTTTTTTAAATAATTAAATTCTTTCGTGAATTGTTTTTTATTATAAAAATAATTTAAATTTGAGTATGAATTCTTATAAAGAATTTTACCAAAATTTTATTGTTTAGGAAAAGAATAAAATTTTTTCAAGAAATTTTATTTGAATGTTTAAAAATTTGGAATTCTATCAAGAAATGTGAAATTGTATTGAAAATAATTTAATTTTTGCCAAGAATTTTATTTAAATTTTTGAAAATAATTAAAGTGTTTAAAAAAATTTTCGAATTTTTGATACATATATGTATATTTAAAATTTCGATTAGTAAATAATTAATAGTTGAAATAGTATAGAAATCTTTTATTTCCGGAAATAAAGAAGAAGACCATGACATTGTAACCGTTTTACTCTAATAGACAGGTTCTTTACTCATAAAGTAGACGTGACTCGAAGTGCATCACGATGTTATTGTACGTGATTGGAAATTACTTTATAGAAGCATTTGTAAAATAATTTTTGTTTGTTTGTTTGTAAATTTTTACCTGTGCGATAATTGTCAACAATGGTAAAATTAATACATATTTATTATGATTAGGTAGTAATTTTATTAAAATTATTAATATTCAGAAATTAATAGATATCGAAGAAATTAATATTAAAAAATTAATATCAAAGAAATAAATATTAAAAAAATTAATATCAAAAAAATTATTATTAAGAAAAATATTCAAACATTTAAATTAAAAGTTTATTAATTTTAATAGAAAAAAAGCATTAAAAATACAAAAAAGAAATTTTTTAATTTGCGAAAATGCTACGAACTGTCAAATAAAAAAATTAATTTGATCGAAAATATTTCTTTTCATTACATTGGAATCGTGTCCTTCAGTAAATAATTCCGTTATACTCTCGTAACTATAGAAGAAGATTGAAAAACCAATATTTCAAAAAAAATTTCTTAGTCATCCAAAGATAGTGAATTTTATTTATAAACAATAAAATAATACAGAATTGTTTTCTTTTTCTTACTCTTGTTTCTCGTTATTTTTTTTAGTTTCAAAAATTTGTTTTGTAAGAAACAAATGAGAAAGAAAATTTTAGATTAATCAAAAAAGGGATTTATTGCATTTTTAAAGACCAAGAAGTGGTATTATAAATTTATCGACGTTTTATCGCTAGAAAATTTTCTTTATAAAATCAACTAATCAGTCTTTTAGTCACCTTATGGAAGTGTTTTGAAAATTTATTTTCATAATGTAGAAAAAAATTTCATAATATGGGTGGTTGGTATTTCGAAAATTAATTTTTAGAATTACTTTTCAGTCATATAAAAAAGTGAAATTTTGAAATATTTTATCGGTATATAGAAATTTTCATTGCGTTGATATTTGAACTCAAAGATGAAAAATGATTTATTGTAATATGCGTTTATTTTGGGGAAAAATTTGTTACCTTTCTATCCGATGACTAAGTATAATTAAATTGATGAACATTCATTTGTGTTTAAACCTTGTATTATATGGAAAAAGTGAGAGGACAAACGAAAGTGAGATACTCGAGTGAAACTGAAAGTCTTCAAATGTCATAAGAAGTCTTTTATTTACCATACTGGTGCAACTTGAGTTTTATTTTTTCTATATCAATTTTACAGGACCTTGTTTATTTCTTTTTAATTTACTTATTTTATTCAGAGTTAACGATAACATTTTTTTAAAAATTCAAAATAACATCTTTTTTAAAACTTCATATCTAAAAATTTCTTTTTCGCTTAAATCAGGGTTGCCACAGGTCAGGAAATTCAGGGAAATCAGGGAAAAGTCAGGAATTTTATTAAAAGTGCTGGAAAAAATTTAATTTTTAGAATTCATAAGTAAATTCTGAATTTTTGTGTTTTTTATTTGCCTCATAAAGTATAAAATTACGACGAATTCTAATAAAAAACCTTTAATTTTTTCTATTTCTGACAATAATTTCTTTTTAAATTTTGAATAAATTTAATTAGAAATTTTAAAGAACTCAGATTTTGAAAATTTTTAATAATTCAAAGTCTTCTGAAATTAGTTAAATTTTTTTAATATATATATTTAATTAATTGTTAAAAATAATGGATTTATAGAAGAATTTTAGTTTAAAAAAATTATTTAAAATCACAAATTTTCAGAAAATTCTTGGCAAAATTCTAATAAACTTTTATCAATAATAAAATTCTCCGAAATTAAATTATTTTCAAAAATTTTAATAAAATTCTTGGCAAAAATTAAATTATTTTCAATACAATTATTTAAAATTTCTTAATACAATTCCCAATTCTTAAACATTTTAATAAAATTCCTTAAAAGAATTCAATTATTTTTCTCATTTTTTCTAAATAATAAATTTCTTCCCAGGAATTCAATTATTTTGAAAAATTTTAATAAAATTCTTGTCAAAATTTCAATTAATTTTAAAAATTTTCCTCAATTTAATGATTTTCAATATCCAATTTTCAAATTATCTATGATTTTTGGTAGATATATGAGTACACTTTTTCCCCCTACAATATGTTTAAAAAAAAATTTAATTTTTGAAGTAATCAGGTGTTGAAGTTTTGGGTCATTTTATTTTTATTTTATTGTTACTTTGAAACAAATAAAGATAGTTAAGAGAATTTTTTTAAATTAAAGCTTAAAGTCTATACTTTAAAGATGAAATAAAGCGATTACTAAAAAATGAAAATTTGCAATTGTTATTAACAATTCTTTTAAACAATTGCAAATTGAAGAATGTTATCAATGTTTTTGAAAGATTAAATTACCATGTATTGATGCGCAAAACTCCAAGGATTAATTTAAAAAAAAAGAAAAATCAGTAACCTCCAATATTATAGAAATTATGTAAATTTTTCTGACAAAATGCAGGTGAAAATCGACTCGTGTTCCCGGAAAAAGATAAAATTAGAAACAAATAAATAAGATCTTCTTTTGTTTTGTTAGAAACTTCACGCTTTCAAGCAGATTTTCAAGATCAGTACATGGTAATTTAATCTCTCAAAAACATTGAGAACATTCTTCAATTTGCAATTTTTTAAATGTAAATTTTCAGTTTTTACTAATCGCTTTATTTCATCTTTAAAGTATAGACTTTAAGCTTTAATTTTAAAAAAATTCTCTTAATTATCTTTATTTGTTTCAAACTAATAATAAAATGAAATTAAAATGACCCAAAACTTCAACACCTGATTACTTCAAAAATAAAATTTTTTTTTGAAAAATATTGTAGGGGGAAAAAGTGTACCCATATAACTACCAAAAATCATAGATAATTTGTTAATCAATCGTTTACGTCCGAGAAATAGTAATTATAGTAAAGGTATCTATAGTAAATCCTTTACTATAGATAATTTGAAAATTGGAGACAAAAATTTTTCAAGTGGCCGGCTTCACTTATTTTGGCTCAGAGGAAAACAAAAAAAAATTTTGTAGCAATCCTATAAACTTTTAGACCTGCAGATTATAAATAAGGTAAATTAGATAATAAATTGAATTAGGAAATAAAAGGATGTTTTAATGATTTATTTAATTAATTTTAATTGTACGGTAAATTAACTAATGTTTGAATTTTATTAAAAAATAGCCTGATTGACGGCAATATAGGAAGCAATGAAACTATCAAAAATATGTAATGCCGATTGTAAAGGAGATAATGCGGCTTAACAAGAAAATCCTCATTAGATAACAAATAATAATTCCGAATTTTTTGTTTTATTTTCATAACTTTTTACTTTTTGAATGATAAGGTGTTAATTTCGATCTTTTTCAATTTGAGTCATTCTTGAAATACATTTCAATTCAGATTTTTAGAAAATAATTCTCATTACAACCAGGCATTTTTCGCGAAATTATTTATAATTTATAATTTAAAGGAAAATGTTTTTATTTTACCTTTTTTCTTTGTTAAAAAATTTATAACTTATTTAATTGATTTTTTATTAATATTTGCTCTTTTTGAATTGTTTTCAGGAATTTTCGCATATTTGAACTACTTGACTCCAAAAAGCCGAAGAGAGATTCTTGAACTTTTAGTTGGTGGTCTGAAGAGACTCGAATACCGAGGATATGATTCAGCAGGTAAAATTGCTTTTTAACAATATAGATTATTATAATACAGTGTCAAACCATTTTATTTCGACTAATGTATTTTTGACTTTTATAAAGAAAAACTTTAATTCTTTAGGAGAATTTTGTTTTTTCTAAATCATCGTGTATTTTGTCATCTCTATGTGTAAAAATATTCTTTCAAAGTATTTAAGTTTTTTGTTTACAAAAAAATAATACATTAGGCGAAATATAATGGTTTGACCCTAATAGTAATAATACCAATAATAATAATACCCCTTCAGTGTCATGTGACGCCTTTGACTAAAAACTTATTTCAAAATTAAAAATTGACCAAGTAATAAATTTAAAGCGAATTTATTATATTTCAGAACTCTTAATTTATTCCTGACACGCGCGGTCAATTAAGGGGTTAATGAATTAATATTCAATCTTTAATAATTTATTATTTGATATTATAATTATGGCGTGAAATTTTTATTAAAAATATATTAAATGTATTAATTATTATAATATAAATTATAGTATAAAACTTCTAAGGAAGTTCTACAAATTGTTGCAAAATTTAAAGTCGAGAAATATTTACAAAGAAAAAAGAAAGAGAGAAAAAGTTATAAAATTAAGTGGAAAATATTGTAGCAATATGACCTCGAGTATGTTCACAATGTGACAAACCAGAATTTATTTGCAAGGAAAGTTAATGAAAAAAAACTCATAAATTCAAAAAAAAAAAAAAAATGAAAAAAAACCAGAACGGTGATTCGAATTGGTTTCAAACCTTGGAACTCTCGTTTTTAATTTAATTTATTTCAAGTTAAAAGATAAATCTTTTGGGAATTTCCAATAAATAAACTGATTACTATTATTTTTGTGGGATTTTACGAGAAAAGTATATTATGAAAATAATCTCTTGGCGCCATTGATTTTATTTTTTATTTGCATTCTTCTGAACACAGACAGAATTTTTTCCTTTTTTTCCTTTTTACTTTGACAATCGATGAGAATGTCGTCCTAAGCAAGAGAGAAAGGAGTTTATTTTTTTGAACTTTGCTTTGAAGATTCTTTAACACTTTTTCCTCTTTTACTTTCCAGGAGTTGCCCTTGACAGTCCAGATGGGAAGGACATTTCAATAATCAAAAAACAGGGAAAAGTTATTGCCCTCGAAGAAGAAATATTTCACTGTTAGTAAATATTAATTTTTTCTAATAATCTATATTAATAATCGTTGTATTCCAGTATTTTGTTCGCGGTTTGCAGTTAGTTGTTGTTTGCTTTTTTGTTTCCTAACTGTTTTAATAATTTTTCTTTTCAAATTTATCAATTTTAAAATTAATGTATTGAAAATCATTGAATTATTGCAAAGAATTTTATCAAAAAATTTGAAATAATTGAATTCCTTCCAAGAATTTTATAACTTATGAAAATAATTTAATTCTTGCGAAGAATTTTATTAACATTTTTAAAAATTGTACCTAATTAAATTCTTTAGAAGAATTTCTTTGAATTTTTTTTTTAATACTGGAGTTTCTTTAATAATTTTAATCGAAAGTAATTGAATTTTATGAACAATTTCTTTCAAGTTTTTCAGATATTCATATTTCTTAATAATCGAATTAAATTTTATTAAAATTGTTAGACAATAAGTAAATAGATCTTAGAAATTAATTACAATTTTCTACAATAATTTAATTCATTCAAGGAGCGTTCATAAATGATGTCCCGCAATTTTTCGGGATTTTAGACCCCCCCCCCTGTCACGCAATTCCATGCAATTTCACATGTAAAAATACATTGTGTCACGTTTAGTAGAGACCCCCCCCAAAAAAAAACATGACATCATTTGTGAACGCTCCCCTCAAGGAATTTTATTAAAATATACAAAAAAAATTAAATTCTTTCGAAGAATAGATACTATTAAAGGTTTTGACAAAAATTGAATTCTTTCAAAACATTTCTTTAATTTATTGAATATAATCGATTTTGTTAATAATTTTAATCAATAATTTTACTATTAAAATTCTATTAAAATTATTGATAGAAAATAAAACTCTTTTAAACAATTTTATTAGAGTTTTTGTAAATAATTAAATTCTTTTGAAGAATTTTTTAAAGTTTTTTTGAAAGTAATGTAGTTTTTTGGATAATTTTAATTGAAAATTTTGAAAATAATTGAATTAAACAAAGAATTTTTTTCAACTTTTTAAAATACTCATGTCTGTTAATAATTGAGCAGGGTGTCTAGCGAACCGGGAAATCGGGAAAAACCGGGAAAAACCCGGGAATTTGGTTCGACCTCAAAAAACCGGGAAAAACCCGGGAATTTTCTATTTCAGGGTGTCTAGCGAACCGGGAAATCGGGAAAAACCGGGAAAAACCCGGGAATTTGGTTCGACCTCAAAAAACCGGGAAAAACCCGGGAATTTTCTATTTATAGGGTATTTTTTGAATTATGTATATAAAAAATTATAATTTTTTTCAAAATCGTCAAGGGTAAATTGATAGTATGAAGCAGTAGTAAAAATAATAACTTAAATTTTATTTAAAACTAACTTTAGTATAGGTTATATTATAAAAGTTAAAGGATTTGTACTATTATTATTTTTATATAACAATTTATAGGTATACAATACGTAACAAATTTTATAAGAAGAAATTGAGAATCTTCTGTGATATAGGAAAGGCAAAGATTTTACTTTTTAAAACTAAATACGGGGCATTCCATTTCAAAACGATCCTCCTTATAAACAATTGACATTGTAAGGCAATTTTTAAATCATTATTTCTTATATTTATTGAAGCCAAACTTTATTTACTATTAGTGGTTTTAAAACAAAAATTTCTCAACTTTATAATGGTAGAAATTTTTTTTTTTAAATAATAGAATTTATGAAAAAAATTAAGTTTGAAAGATAACCTTTTTGAATATCTCAAAACACGTCGCATCCGATTTTCTTGAAACTTATGTAAAAATAAAGCTTAAATATTCTAGTTTAATTCTATGTAAACATTATAATGTGCAATTCATGGTTTGAGAAATTAATTAAATTTTACAAGTATTTCAAAGGGTATAATGTATGTACCGAGCGGAATTTTTTTTTTCAAAAAAAGTTTTTCTTAAATTCCCCTGAATTGACAATTATATTATAAAGTTGAGAAATTTTTATAAGTGAAATTTTTATATTCTATGTCAAGTTTTTAGAAATTATTGTATAACTTTAATCATTGTAATTTAATAAAAACAATATTTAATTACGTAAATAATGTTATTGATAAACATTTAAATATGTTTTTAAATCCTTTGTGAATATCCGGGAAAATTATTCAAGAACCCGGGAAAAAACCGGGAAAAACCCGGGAATTTTAAATTGACGATTCGCTAGACACCCTGTATTTATAGGGTATTTTTTGAATTATGTATATAAAAAATTATAATTTTTTTCAAAATCGTCAAGGGTAAATTGATAGTATGAAGCAGTAGTAAAAATAATAACTTAAATTTTATTTAAAACTAACTTTAGTATAGGTTATATTATAAAAGTTAAAGGATTTGTACTATTATTATTTTTATATAACAATTTATAGGTATACAATACGTAACAAATTTTATAAGAAGAAATTGAGAATCTTCTGTGATATAGGAAAGGCAAAGATTTTACTTTTTAAAACTAAATACGGGGCATTCCATTTCAAAACGATCCTCCTTATAAACAATTGACATTGTAAGGCAATTTTTAAATCATTATTTCTTATATTTATTGAAGCCAAACTTTATTTACTATTAGTGGTTTTAAAACAAAAATTTCTCAACTTTATAATGGTAGAAATTTTTTTTTTTAAATAATAGAATTTATGAAAAAAATTAAGTTTGAAAGATAACCTTTTTGAATATCTCAAAACACGTCGCATCCGATTTTCTTGAAACTTATGTAAAAATAAAGCTTAAATATTCTAGTTTAATTCTATGTAAACATTATAATGTGCAATTCATGGTTTGAGAAATTAATTAAATTTTACAAGTATTTCAAAGGGTATAATGTATGTACCGAGCGGAATTTTTTTTTTCAAAAAAAGTTTTTCTTAAATTCCCCTGAATTGACAATTATATTATAAAGTTGAGAAATTTTTATAAGTGAAATTTTTATATTCTATGTCAAGTTTTTAGAAATTATTGTATAACTTTAATCATTGTAATTTAATAAAAACAATATTTAATTACGTAAATAATGTTATTGATAAACATTTAAATATGTTTTTAAATCCTTTGTGAATATCCGGGAAAATTATTCAAGAACCCGGGAAAAAACCGGGAATTTTAAATTGACGATTCGCTAGACACCCTGTTGAGGCCTTGGATCCAATAACTCGCCCGACGCTCGGAGGAACGCGTAACTGCCAGTCAGTGAGCAGTGAGCGCCTCTGGGCCACTCACTGTTACCCGACTGGTATTAGCGCGTGCCTTCGAGCGTCGGGCGAATTATTGGATCCAAGGCCTCAATTATAATTAAATATTTTATTTTGGAAGTTTATTAAAATTCCATTGAAAAAAATTGAATTTCTGAAAAGAATTTTATTATTTATAAAAAATAATTTAATTGTTGCGATGAATTTATTAAAATTTTAGAAAATAATTAAATTGTTTAGAAAAATTTTATTAACAATTTTTTTAAAAAATGAATTGCTTTTAAGGATTTATTAAAATTTTATAAAATAATTGATTTTTTTGGAAAAATATTATTAAAAATTAAAAAAATCTGAATTCTTTCACGAAATTTTATTAAAATTGTATTAAAAATAATTGAATTTTTGCAAAGAATTATAGAATTATATTAAAATTTTTGAAAATATAAACAATAATAATTAATTATGTAGGGTAGAGTGGGGCATTACTATTCGCGGGGCGTAACTATTCTTTGTCCTGGAGAGAAAACTATTCAGCCGATTAAAGTTTTTTTTACACTGTATACTTGTCATGTGAAATAAACATTGTATGCCACATTTGAGCTTCTAGCGCCATCTATCATAGGAGTTAGGTACCCAAATGTGATTTTGATATACTCGCTTACTTGTTTTCACTCATTTAGTCTGCCATTGTAAATAGTGATAAACGGTCGAAAAAATTATCGGAGAAAATATTTCCAAAGTCAAATTTAGTGCTGAACACGAATATCATAATAGATTTTTGATATTCTATTGTTCAAAAATTTTACAAGTGTTTTTTCAAAAAATGAGCGGATGGGGCGTAACTATTCTTCCACTGATGACAGCAAAAACTACAAAACAGTGTATTTTTTTTTATTCTCCTTGTTTCTAGGTTAGAATGGTAAGAAATTGTCAGAAAAAAACCAGAAAAAATCCTTCAATTAACAAATTATTTTTTATATTTTTTTAGTATTATATCATTAATAGCTGCAAGAATAGTTACGCCCCTCGTTTTTTTCGACATCAAAAAAAATTTTTTTTCGTAAAATCGCTGTAGTTCGGAATAGAATCGAGTTACAGCAAAATGATACATGGCAAAATTGTAGCTAAGAAGTCAAGCTTTCAAACGGTTCTACTCATTTTTTTATTTTTTTTTAAATACATTTTCTAGACTCAAAAATCCAAAAAAGAATAGTAATGCCCCACCCTACCCTACCTACTTAATAAGTGAATTTTTTTAATTTTGATTATGAAATTATTCAAAATTGAGCCCGCGCGGGCTCAATTATTATCAATAAAATATTAAATTGACATTATTTCTTTTTACAATTTGAATAAAAGTTATCAGTTAGGAAAATTTTTAATTTTCGAGCGTCAAAAATTTGAATAAGTGGTAAAATTGGTAGTAATAATTTTCTAAAATTTTTATATTTAATTATTTTTGGTAGAATTTTGTTCTTTAAAAATAAAATGTAATTGGTTTGTAAATTTCAGGTACTAATTTTTTTATTTTGAATACAGAATTATTTTTTGTAGAATTTTGTTTTTTAAAAATAAAATGTAATTGTTTTGTAAATTTCAGGTACTAATTTTGATTTTGAATCGAAAATAGAGTGTCATGTTGGAATTGCTCACACTCGTTGGGCAACTCATGGCGTTCCATCTGAAATAAATTCTCATCCCCAACGATCTGATATTGACCACGGTTTTGTTGTTGTTCACAATGGTAATTGTTTCTTATCTAATTTTTATTATCCTTTAATTTTTTATTCAATTTGAATTTTTCCTATATTAATCTTTTAAATTTCAAACCAACTCGTCTTTTTTTGACAATAAAACATTCAAATTTAGAATAAATTAAAAAAATTGAAGTAAAAATAAATTTAATAAACATTCTACAAAAAAAAATTTGTTTTTTATAATTCATTTATTATTATTTTATGAACTTTGTCCGTAATATTGAATAGAAAATAAATAAATAAAAAAATGAAAATAATTTGGAAAATCGAATGTAGGTCAAATAATTATGAAATAGTTGTTTGAAATGGTAATTTCTATTTTTTAGGTATCATTACCAATTACAAGGAAGTCAAGACACTTTTGGAACAAAGAGGATATATTTTTGAGAGCGAAACTGACACGGAAATAATTGCAAAGTTAATTCATCATCTTTGGGTTCAACATCCGACCTACTCGTTTCGCGAACTCGTCGAACAAGTCGTTCAACAACTAGTGAGTATTCCTGTTTTTAATTTTTTTCTTTATTTTCTTTTCAAAACTACTTTTATACCCTGTCTCAATACATTTATCCTTTTATCGTGTTTATTAACAGTATTTGCAACATTTTACTCTATAGTAAAGAGACCTCTTACTTCCTTGTTCTAGAGACTAGAGAAAGCAAAATATTTACAAAAGAGATCTGCGATAAAAAAATTTATATAGTCATTACGAAAACTCACGAATAAACAGAAAAAACTCATTGATTAAAGAAAATAATTTGTATTCGATTTTTGTACATTTTTATTTTAATATGAAAATTTTTTTCTATTGTTGTACAATACGGGTTTTGCACTCATCTACTAAAATCTCCTATTTAGTACTTTTTGCGATTTGAATAAAAAAATTATTCTCCAAAATTTTAAAAAACTTATTAGAAACAATTTAAAATATCTTCAAAAATTTTAGGAAACTTTTTCTCAATAAATCAATTATTTTCACAAATAATGAAATTGTTGGGTGAAATTCAAATATTTTAGTCTATCTACTATTTCAATAAAATTTCTGAAAAGAATTTAATTATTTAAAAAAAATTTTAATAAAATTTTTCATAAAAATTCAATATTATTTTCATAAATAATAAAATTTTCACAGTAGGGGAGACTGGGGCGAAAAGTTAAATTGTGAAAACAGTTAAAATTCATTATCTTTCGAACGAAAATAGTTAGAGCATTGCAATTTTAATTATAGAAGGGTGTTATCGCCCTAAATAAATGTCCGGAGTTATGTGACATTCTGTTAATTTTTGTGGTGTCCATATTTAAATTTTTTTTTCACCCTACTTTTGAAAATTTTTTCGTAAAAGAAAATATCAACTTTTAAGTATATTTTTTGCATTTATTCTCATCGCGATTTTTTTACTTCATTATTTGGGTCCCCTGAAGAGATACCTAAAGGTATTTGCTAAATATCTTTAGTCAGATTTTTTATATTTGTTGTTAAAGCCAAAAATGCACCCTGGGGCGAAAAGTTAAATGTATTTTTACATGTTATTAAAAATTTTTTTTTATTTTTTGTTTTTTTGGGTTTATTTATTTAAAATTGATTTATTTGACATTAGGCAAGTACTCTATCAAAAAACAAGACCGCTTACGTGAAATAAACCAAAAAAATTTTTTTTTTTTTTTTTAAATTTCAATTTATTAACTTTATAACTATTCTAAAGCTTTTGTAAAGTAAACAAAGATCTTTTATTAACTAAATTACTTGTTTACGTATACTTTAACTTATCTACTACTCAACACCTATCAGAAAATAGTTTTAGTAGGCTAAAAATAGAATTTAACTTTTTGCCCCAGCCATTTAACTTTTCGCCCCAGCATGGGGCGAAAAGTTAAAAAAAACAAAATTTTCAAAAAAGGACAAAACATGTATTGTATGCGAAAATATCAGAAACTTTTTTATTGAAAGTTGTAGGGGACAAGTTGCCCTACAATATTGATTTACAAATATTTGCATCTAAGCGGATTATATTGTCTAAAAAAAATCATTTATGCAAAATTTAACTTTTCGCCCCAGTCTCCCCTACCTAATTCAATTATTTAAAATACAATTTAAAAAAAAATTTTTTTTGGAAATATTAAAATTCTTTGAATAAAATCAATTATTTTACAAAAAATTTATTAAAATTCTTTATAAAAATTCAATTTTAAGAAATAATGAATCATTCTATGAATTATTTATTTTTGTATTCAAATAACCGAATTATCGTTGAACTTTCTAATAAGAATTAATTTAAAAATGAATTTCAGTTTACCTATATTTTAGATAATAATTGAATATTAGAATCGTTATATTATGAATTTTTAGGAATAATTAAACTCAAAAAGATTATTTTTAAATTGAAATTTTTGGAAATTTTAATTGTTGACAAGTTGTAAAAATATTTCAATACTTTTTTTAAAAAAATGATTAATTTAATATTTTATTACCTATTTAATAATTTATTTAACAAAAATTATTTAATTTTTGAATAATTTAATTTATAAATTATTCAAAAAATTAGTCTTTTAAAAAATTGTACTAAACATTTTTTGAAGATTAAAACTAAATTAAATTTCCGTAGTAATTAAAATAAAATTTAATTAAATTGTCAATTAATTGGAAATATTCTTAACTTTAATTGAAATAAATTTTATATTTTAAAGAATTTAATTTTTTTACTGTTTACGATTATTTTTAAATATAGGGGAGAGGCGCGTAAAACGGCGCATGTAACGTAAATACTTTAATTATATAAAAGTCATAATGTTATCATTAGCGAAATAATGAAAAATCATTAGTTCAACATTCGAACTAACTTATTGTGCAGTGAAAATCGTATTGACATTAAATAAAAAAGTAAATTATAAGTTTTTAAAAAAAGTACACCTGCGCCAAGTAATACGGCGCACTCTAAACTTGAAGTATAAAAAGAAAGGGGAATTAATTACAATGTTAAAAAAAATTTAATTTTGATGCAAAAATGTATTTTAATTCATAATTATGAATTATAATAATAATAATAATTCATAATTATATTATATGTATATAATATAATAATCAATTCTCGATAACTATTATTTCTGACTCTTAAAAAGTCTTGAATTTTTAAAAAATAAGACCCTGATAGTTTTTCTATTTTATTGATTAATATAAATTAAAATGTTTTTCAAAATACATAGAGTTGTGGTAAATTATATTTAATATGCGCCAAGTTATCCGCCGTATTCTAACGTGCGCCGTTTTACCCGCACGTATATTAAACTAAAATATACTTGTTTTAAACAAAAATTAATTTAAATTAACTCAGTAAATTTTTGTAAACCATTAAACAGATACGAAGTAAGAAATTCCACAAAAAAAACAATTTTAAAGAAAAAATATATAAAATCAATTTTTTACTGTTTTCCACACTGCCATCACAATACACGCAGAAAATCGAAAAACTACTTTTCATAAAAAATAATTAATTATTATTGAAAATGTTCTAGATTTTTTACATACTTTCAAGGAATACATAAATATTGAAAGTAAAAATATATTTTTTTCTCTAAAATACTTCCATTTTTGTAAATGCGAGTGCGCCGAATTACCCGCCTCTCCCCAAATCGTATGTTTAAAGAATTATGACTAAAAATTTGAAAGATAATTAGATTTTAGAAAAATATTAAAAATTGAAGTAATTATGAATGAAAGTGAATATTTTTTATGGAAATACTGACATTATTTAAATCATTAATTTTTTTATTTATTAGTTATTAATTAGTTATTTATTATTTAGTATTTTAATGTGACAGGCCGTTTTTTGTACATTTTGTAAATAATTTATTTTTCTATTTAATTACACGCGACTCTCTAATTATTTAAATAAAAAAATGATTTGTTTGCTATTTTAGGAAGGTGCTTTTGCTCTTTGCTTCAAAAGTAAATATTTCCCTCACGAATGTGTGGCTACGAGGCGAGGTTCTCCATTATTGGTTGGAATAAAAACGAAAAAACGTTTAGCCACCGATCATGTTCCAATTCTCTATGGGAAAGGTATAAAGTACTGGAGTAATGAATTATTTTTCCGTTTTTAAATTTCCAGGATAATTTGATAGAAAATGTAGAAAATGTTGAAAATTCAACTACTGTTGAAAAGTATTTTGCAGGTTATTGAGTTATTTAGTTAATTTGCTGATGAGAATTCAGTAAATATCGGATTTTAATACCACTTTGGAGTGTGGGAATTAATGTTTTTCTTTTAAATAACTCTTTCTGTTTTCTTCTGCTTTAACTAATACAAATTCTCTTTCAAGTTACTATATAAATAATGTAAAAATACTAATCGGTTTGCATGGATTTAATTTAATATATTAAGCTTTTTACACATTTGTTTCTATTGTTTTAAAAGATTTTTATAACAATTGTTAACTTTATTCTTACTAATCAATATTTATTTACGCACCTGATTGTCATTTTGAAAGAACTCGAACTATTTTTTATTTTAAATTTTTTTTTAATTTCATGCACCTTCAGTGTTGGATGGTAATTCTTTTTGTAAGTAACAAAAATCATTTAACCATTTTTCCTAATTTTCTCTCCATTTCGTATTTTGGTAAGAAGGGTTTTTGATATTAAGAAGAAAAATAAAATACATTTTTTTAAATACAGTTTTTTGTCTTAAAGAATACAGTATTGTAGATATTTAATGAAACAAACGGTTTTTGCATGTTGCTTAAAAATTTTCTATTTAAATTGCTGTCGTTTTTGGATACTATATGAATGTTTTTTTTGCATGAACAACTTCCGGTTTCGTTCTACAATTTTTCGTCTGAACAGATGACCTTCCACGCACACCTAAAGGTATAACTTATCAATAAAATTACCTTTCAATCGCTTTCAGGCAATAAATCCATTTTTGTCGATGAGCATCTCTCGATACTGTCAATGTCAATTTTCTTTTTTGTTCTACGAAAAAATTGTGGTTTTTAATTTAATTCTTTTTCTATTATCTTTTATTTGCTGTAGCATTTTTTATCTACACTATCTTTTTATTATGCCTTTTTCTCTTTGGGTTTATTTTATTTTACTTTCTTTCCTCAATGAAATTTTTACAGTGGTAGATAGTCCGAATTTTTTGTTGTCGTTGTTGTTGTTGTTGAGAATTTTGGTTTATTAGAACTGTTTAATTTGTATTTTTTGGAAATTTATTTCTACTTTACTGTATATTACACAGTGCAACACATAAAATGTGCACTAAGTTTTGACTTCAGTTTCTGAAAGTACTTATCGAAACTAGCAAAAACCTATTTCAGTTTTGCTAGATTAGCTCGGATTTAAATTTTATCGACATTTGAATTTTTTTTTTGAATTTTCACATTTTTCAGTTTTCTGATACGGGCTGATGGGAACACTGGCTATAAAAAGTTTATTAAAAAAATTCGCAATGCTCAAAATTTGAAAAGCAATAATCCCTCTTTAATTAGAGAGAAAGAAAAAAAAATTTGGTCGAAAATTGTTCCAGTTACGAATTTTTTTTGGCTTTTTTACATTTTTTGGTTTTATGAAACGGGCGGGTGAGAAAGCTGGCTATTAAAAGATTATAAAAAAAAATTCGCAGTGGTAATCATTTGAAGAGCAATAATTCCTCTTTAATTTCTGACTTTGAAAAAAAAATTTTGTCAAAAATTGTTCGAGTTATGAATTTTTTTTTGACTTTTTCACATTTTTCGGTTTTTTGATAAAGCGGGTGGAAACGCTGGCTATTAAAAGTTTATAAAAAAAATTTGCAATGGTCACCATTTGAAAAGCAGTAATTCCTCCCTAGTTTCTGCCATTGAAAAAAAAATTTGGTCAAAAATTGTTCGAGTTATGAATTTTTTTCGTACTTTTTCAAATTTTTTTTGTTTTTGATCTGGGCGGGTGAGAACGCTGGTTATTAAATTTTTCTTTTTTAAAAACGCGATGGTCACATTTTGCAGAGCAATAATTCCTCTTTAATTTCTGTCAAAGAAAAAAAATTTGGTCAAAAATTGTTCTAATTATGGTTTTTTTTTACTTTTTCACATTTTTCGGTTTTTTGATACGGGCGGGTGGGAACGCTGGCTATTAAAAATGAATTAAAAAAATTCACAACGGTCAAATTTTAAAATGCAATAATCCTTCTTTAATTTCTGATAAAAGAAAAAAAATTAGTAGAAAATTATTCGTGTTATTTATTTATTTCTGTACATTTGTATACCCGCGGTCCTGTGCAACCGAGGGTTTTGATTTTTTTTTGACTTTTTTCGAAACCAAATATTTCGAATCAAATATTTTATCTTGGGCAGAAATTAAATAGGGATTATTGCTCTTTAAATTGTGCCTATTACGAATTCTTTTTATAAATTTTTAATATTCAGTATTCCCACTTCCGTTATCAGAAAACCGAAAATTAAAAAAAAGTAAAAAAAAATTCATAACTTGAACAATTTTTGACCAAATTTTTTTTCGTGGGCAGAAACTAAAGACGGATTAATGCTCTTAAAATTGTGATCATTCGAAATTTTTTTATAAATTTTTAATAGCCTGCCTTCCCACCCGCCTGATCAAAAAATTGAAAAATGTGAAAAAGTCAAAAAAAAATTAATAAGTGGAACAATTTTTGACCAAATTTTGTTTTCTTTGTCAGAAATTAGAGAGGAAGTATTGCTCTCCAAAATGTGACCATTGCGTTTCTAAAAAAGAAAAATTTAATAACCAGCGTTCTCACCTGCCCGGATCAAAAACAAAAAAAATTTGAATAAGTACGAAAAAAATTCATAACTCGAACAATTTTCGACCAAATTTTTTTTTCAATGTCAGAAATTAGGTTGGAATTACTGCTCTTCAAATGGTGACCATTGCGAATTTTTTTTATAAACTTCTAATAGCCAGCGTTTCCACCCGCTTTATCAAAAAACCGAAAAATGTGAAAAAGTCAAAAAAAATTCATAACTCGAACAATTTTTGACCAAATTTTTTTTTCTTTATCAGAATTTAAAGAGCGATTATTGCATTTCAAATTATGACAATTGGGAATTTTGTGTAATAAACTTTTAATAGATAGCGTTCCCACCCTCTCGTATTAGAAAAACCGAAAAATTTGAAAAATTACAAAAAAAAATTCATAACTCAAATAATTTTCGACCAAATTTTTTTTGCAATGTCAAAAATTAAAGAGGAATTATTGCTCTTCAAATGGTGACCACTGCGAAATTTTTTTTAATAATCTTTTAATAGCCAGCTTTCTCACCCGCCCTTTTCATAAAACCAAAAAATGTAAAAAAGCCAAAAAAAAAATTCGTAACTAGAACAATTTTCGACCAAATTTTTTTTCTTTCTCTGTAATTAAAGAGGGATTATTGCTTTTCAAATTGTGACCATTGCGAATTTTTTTAATTAACTTTTAATAGCCAGTGTTCCCATCCGCCCGTATCAGAAAACTGAAAAATGTGAAAATTCAAAAAAAAATTCAAATGTCGATAAAATTTAAATCTGAGCTAATCTAGCAAAACTGAAATAGGTTTTTGCTAGTTTTGATAAGTACTTTTAGAAACTGAAGTCAAAACTTAGTGCACATTCGATGACCTCAAAAATGTTGCACTGTGTTATTTATTCATTGTATTTTATATTTATTTGTTTATTTGTTGCATTTTACATTTATTATATTTTATTGTCTATTTTTGTGATTGTCCTGCATGATTTTTTTAATTGATTTCATGTTTTGTTTTTCATCTCTTGTCTTCCCACGTACATCAGATGGTGAAGCACCAACTAAAGGTACTTCTTGTTATTTTTTTTTAAATCATCTATTTATATTGATAAAAATATTTTTTGCTTCTTTGCTTGTAGAATAATTTCGCTAGAATCATCAGGTTTCTACTCTACAAAGTTATTGCAGAATTTTTATTTTAATACCGCCGTTTAACCTATATTTAATTTGATTCAATTACTTAACATATATATGTATTGGTAAATGTGAAGAAATAATTAAAAATTTAACCATTATTTTAATTAACTGTTGAGGATTTTTAAACGTAAGGAAAAATGTAACAGTTTTGAAAAATAATGTTTATATTTAAAAAAAATTGTTGAATAAAGAAAATTAAGGTGCTGGTGGTTGTGAAAAGTATTGTCAATAGATGAAGAAGAATAATTTTTGTCCAACGCCTTCGTGGAAATAGAACTATTGTACGCTAGGCACCAATGGAGGAATGTAGTACATTTCCCCACTGGTGGTTTGGCCAGTGGAGAAATGAAGTCATTTCCCCACTGGTGGTGGAATGAGAAATTGACTAATCGATTTTTTATTTTATATTAGAATTAGAACATTTTAGGAACAGAATTTTGAGGACACTCTGGGGATCTTTAGGGACACTTTCAAAACATTCATTTTTGAAAAATTTTTTTTCAAATTTTTTTTTCTATTTTTAGATTTTTTTCAAAATTTTTTTCAAAATTAGATTTTGTTTCACTCTCAGTTATTGCTATAACATCATTGTAATATTTTGATTTCGATAAATAACGAGTAAAGTCAACTTAAAATTTTGAAAAATTAATAGTTTAAATTTATTATTTATAAAAAAAATTTTTTGCAGTTGTTGGACAAAATAGTATGTGCAACTTGTGGATAACAGCGATTTTCGCTCCCTCGATTGCTGCGCGCGCTACGCTTGCGCAGCAAACTTCGAGCTCGCGAGAAATCGCCCTTGTTCTCCACTCGTTGCACAATCTACTATTTCTCTTGAAGATTTGCATGTTTGATAAGTGGTATTTGGAGAAAATGATTTAATATTAATATTTTATTTCTATTGCTTCAATTTTGCAGAAATAATAATAATTATAAGTGTAACTGATTAGATTTTTGGATAAGTGTGTCCACAATGAGTCACGAAAAAAAATTGATTTACAGATCATCGTCCTCATGGACGTCCGACAGAAATCCCAGTTATGACGAGGAGCGATAGTACTTCCGAGTTCCAACCACTGGAAGATAAAGAAGTCGAGTATTTTTTTGCATCCGATGCAAGTGCCGTCATTGAACACACTAATCGTGTCATCTTTATGGAGGTAATCTATCTTTTGTTTCTATTTATCTGTTTTAATTATTTCAATGTTTTTAGTATTCAATTTTTTATTTTATTAATTTTTTGTTTTCCATTTTATCAATTTTTCAATTTTATCAGGGTTACCACAGGTCAGGAAATTTAGGAAAAGTCAGAGAAAGTAGAATTGGTCAGGGAAATCAGGGAAAAGTCAAGGATTTTTATTAAAAGTACCGGAAAAAATTAAATTTTTATAATTCATAAGAAAGTTTAGAATTTAGGTATTTTCTTTGTTTGCCTCAAACTATGAAATTACCACGAATTGTAAAACAAAACCTTCATTTTTTTTTTATTTCTGACAATAATTTCTTATTCAATAACTTAATTCTTGAAGATTTTTTTTTTAAAGAAAATTAATTTAAATTTATTAACATTCGTCGAAAGATTCCAATTATTTAAAAATTTAATTTAATTTTAAGAAAAATTAAATTATTCAATTAATTACTTATTTTTTTACTGGTCAAAACTAGTTTTGACCTTGCCCTTTCGTCTAAACTAGTATTGACTAAAACTAGGCAATACTGGTTTTGACTAAAATGATTAAAACCTTTTTAAAAACCGCTGCCAAGTTGTACATTTTTATAATTTTTGTGTTCATTTTATGAACACTTCCTCATAGAAATAATAATAATTGAAATGTAAGAATTAATTTTCATAAAAGAGTTAAAAATCATTAAATCTTGGTCAAAAAAATATGTTTTTATATATGAGGCATTATTCCTGAACTGCCCCAAAAATAAAAAAAAGTTCTTGGATTTCCTTTATACTTTGGAAATATGTTACCCTAGTAGGTACAAGTTACTACACCAATTTACAGGTCCAACCCCCCACCCCAATCAAAAGGGTGGGGGGTTGAAATTTCAGCTTCAACTCGAACATGCATTCTTTAAACATTTGTAGTTTCTACTTAAATTATTCAATTAAAAAAAGTAAGTAGTGTTTTAGAAAGGTTTTTTTGTGTACTTTTAAAATATTTTATTTATATAATAAAAAAAAAATTTTTTTGCAAAAATTTTTTAAAATAAATAGTTTTTTGCAATTTTGTGCAAGTTCGGTAGTTTTTATTTTCTTTTTAATAATCTCAAATGAAAGCTTGGGAATTCCCCTAAAAGAAGATATAAGTCTGAAAATGGGCCGAAACAATTTGCCAAAGATATAGTGTAATAAGTAAAATTTGTCCGTCCGCTCGCGCACTCCAGCGCGATGAACAGTGGGATTTTTTTTAAACTTACTATTGAAAATTGTCTAGAAACTACAAATTTTATCGGATGTTGATGTTCTTGATTTAAAATTACTAAGAGATCCATCAAAGTCGATTTTTGAATTTTTAATTGTTTATTTTTTTCTTGTTACTCAAAAATTTGACAAATTACAATATTTTTAGAAAAAATCATGTTAGTTTTTTTATTTTTCCATTACACATGATCGAAATCAATTTAAATTAGTCTAGTATGACCACCGGACAATTAATAAAGCATAATACAATTTATTTAAATTGTTGCAAACAATGTTAATTAACAAATAGATTACTTCGGACCTTCTTCATAAAAAAAAATTGGTTTTTTTGCAGACAAGTTTAAATTTATGTCTAATTTAGTAAAATACTATTTTACAGTTAAAAATTATCATTAATATTAACAATTATATAAACAATAATCAACTTCCTTTTGTATTTGTAAACATTTTCGTCATTTTTCAAACTTTAAATATTTATATCATATGTACATTCTTTCAAAAACTTAAAAAATTTATTTGCTTAAACAATTACATTTGTTATAAACAAATTTTTCATTTTTTAACAAATAATTAGCTTTTTTCATCAAACAAAATTTTTTCCTTTTTTATATTTACTATCATAAAAAAGAACTCCTTAATGAAATGGGAATACTATAAATTATTCATTTAATTCTAACGAACATTATAGGTTAAGAAATATTTATATTTTTAATGAAGTAAACCATTATTCAGTTAAAACAGTTTACATTTAAATGCATATAAATAAATATATTTTTTCTGTGAAAAAAGAACAAAGTTAAATATTTGTTAACTTATAATGTTTATTAAAATTAAATGAATAATTTATAGTATTCCCATTTCATTAAGGAGTTCTTCTTTATGATAGTAAATATAAAAAAGGAAAAAATTTTGTTTGATGAAAAAAGCTAATTATTTGTTAAAAAATGAAAAATTTGTTTATAACAAATGTAATTGTTTAAGCAAATAAATTTTTTAAGTTTTTGAAAGAATGTACATATGATATAAATATTTAAAGTTTGAAAAATGACGAAAATGTTTACAAATACAAAAGGAAGTTGATTATTGTTTATATAATTGTTAATATTAATGATAATTTTTAACTGTAAAATAGTTTTTTACTAAATTAGACATAAATTTAAACTTGTCTGCAAAAAAACCAATTTTTTTTTATGAAGAAGGTCCGAAGTAATCTATTTGTTAATTAACATTGTTTGCAACAATTTAAATAAATTGTATTATGCTTTATTAATTGTCCGGTGGTCATACTAGACTAATTTAAATTGATTTCGATCATGTGTAATGGAAAAATAAAAAAACTAACATGATTTTTTCTAAAAATATTGTAATTTGTCAAATTTTTGAGTAACAAGAAAAAAATAAACAATTAAAAATTCAAAAATCGACTTTGATGGATCTCTTAGTAATTTTAAATCAAGAACATCAACATCCGATAAAATTTGTAGTTTCTAGACAATTTTCAATAGTAAGTTTAAAAAAAATCCCACTGTTCATCGCGCTGGAGTGCGCGAGCGGACGGACAAATTTTACTTATTACACTATATCTTTGGCAAATTGTTTCGGCCCATTTTCAGACTTACTCTCTAAATCTGAATATGTGAAATTTCACTTATTGTACGTTATAAGTCGTCTTCTCGATCAATAAGTGCATATACACTTATAAATAAGTGAATTTTTCACTTATTCTGAGTGAAATTTCACTTATTATAAGTGTATATGCACTTATTGATCGAGAAGACGACTTATAACGTTCAAATATGTGAATTTTCACATATTCAGATTTAGAGAGTATATCTTCTTTTAGGGGAATTCCCAAGCTTTCATTTGAGATTATTAAAAAGAAAATAAAAACTACCGAACTTGCACAAAATTGCAAAAAACTATTTATTTTAAAAAATTTTTGCAAAAAAATTTTTTTTTTATTATATAAATAAAATATTTTAAAAGTACACAAAAAAACCTTTCTAAAACACTACTTACTTTTTTTAATTGAATAATTTAAGTAGAAACTACAAATGTTTAAAGAATGCATGTTCGAGTTGAAGCTGAAATTTCAACCCCCCACCCTTTTGATTGGGGTGGGGGGTTGGACCTGTAAATTGGTGTAGTAACTTGTACCTACTAGGGTAACATATTTACAAAGTATAAAGGAAATCCAAGAACTTTTTTTTATTTTTGGGGCAGTTCAGGAATAATGCCTCATATTCTATAAGATGGTTATAATAGTTTAATAATTACACATAAGTTAATAAACAAGAATGTTGAAAAAATAATATTTTCCACAATTTTTAATTTTTCAAATACCAATAATTTTATAATTTCTGACCGAATCAGGTTCAAAAATATGTCAATCGAAGCGTTTTTTAATGATCTACAAGTTGGTAGTGATACTTTTAAAGTTACTTTTATATTTTTCAACAAAATTTTCAAAAAAGTGTTATTTTCGAAAAATTTAGATTTTTAAAACTTTAATATCTCCGGCTAATATACAGTAAGAAAAGCTATCCGTCAGTCATAGGAAAGTATGAGAATCGCATAAGTCTGTCTCACTCCCACTCATGGGACATGACTGACGTGGTAGGTTTTCGTACTGTATACGAAAAATGTTCAATGAAGGCTCAAAAAATGCGTCTGAAAAAACTCTACAAAACTAAAGAAAAACATTTATAGGTGTCCTAACATTTTTTTAAGTTATGGCCAAAAAACGTTTTTTTACAAAATGAAAAATGCAAAAAAATATAGTTAAATTTTATGAATCGGGCTGAAAATACTCTCATTTTATGTCCCCCGGGGAGACCTACAATTTAAAAAAAATTGAGGCCTTTAGCTCTTTCTCGTTCTGAGATATTGAGGCAAATGTAATGTTAGTACACGGAAAGAAAAAGTCCGTCAACCATTAATGGATTAGTATATTACTTTGAGACGGGACACTTTTTCCGTTGATGGTTACTTAACTTTACTTAACGATTGAAAACGAGTCATGGATTGATTAGAATGCCAGTATGTGACCAATTGTTTTAGATTTAATGCTGAATTGTTATCAATGGCTGTTTGAATGTTTACGAATCATTAGTGAAAGTTTGTGAAACGTTAGTTGACTCGTATTCTAAATCGGCGCTCTTCACTAGCGCATTGTTGCGCAGTGTACCGATGCGCATTTCTTCCGGTTTCTCTATAGTCCATGTGTTTTTGCTGTCTGCTATACATATCCCTATATACTATTATGTGTAATGTGAATATTTAACTTAACTAACAATTTGCAGTTGAATTGCGTCTAGAAATTGACCTCGATGAAAATATATTTTCTTTTATATTTCTCGCTAATTAAAAAGTAGTTATTAGTGCAAAATCATTTCTCACAAGTTGTGAAAAATTTTGTTATTTGGTATATAAGAACAGTTTGCTTCTAAACTTAAAGTGTTATAAGTGTGCGTTTCTACGTGTAGTTATTATAAGTGCGAAAATGTGTTGGAAAATGTGTTGGTCTAAAGCGTCTAAGAGTGTAAATAAAATATCGGAACTGTGCAACGAAAAAAATGTGTTCATTCTGTACCAAATAGTGTCTAAAATTAGGGATAATTCTGAAAGAAGTTGAATTTTTTGAATGCTTTTGATAGTCATAGAAAATTTAATAGACAGTTTTCTAAATTTTAGTGAACGAGTTTTATATATTGATGACAGTTTTCTAAA